TCCCGCACCCTGCGCGGGGTGGGGGGGCCCGGCATCAACGAGGCGGGCTCGCTGGGTGCAGGGGCTGCGGGTGGGGGAAGGCCGAATTTACAGTATTTTATTTCCTTGCAATAAAAGGGGAAGGGTTATTACCCCGGCGGGATGCTAATGACTTTTCCTGGTAACTGGCCTCTTCCATCAGATTTTTCTAGGGGGTAGGCAGGATGGGGAACAGCCTAAAAGCCACGCCGGAGACAAAAGACAGCACCACCTCCTTGAATCAGGGGGCCTCCTGCCACACCCTGGGCCTTCAGCCAAAGCCAGGGGGGCAGGACAAACCCTCTCCCGACCCCACGGTTAGCTGTGGAAATGCCACACCAGAAAAAAGGCCCTGAGGGGCAGCTGCCCACCTCCCGCCCTTCTCCAGGGCACCAGAGCCAGGAGAGGCAGAAGACCAAGGGTGTAAAGGGAGGTAGCAGAGGGGTAGGGGGGCAACAGGGAGTGAGGCAGGGGCACAAGGGGAGGGACCTGCTCATCTCTACCCCTCTAAGTGCGGGCAAGAGCAGCGTGATCTGACACAGGGGACTGCGGCACAGGAGCTTTTGAGGACAGAAGGCAAAATCCTGCTTCAAAACCCTATGGCAGGGAGCAGCGCAGGGGGGGGGACTGGCCTTTCAAAGGAGAAAGGGAAGCAGCGAGGTCCCTGCTGCAGGGGTGGAGGGGGAAGCAGCCAAATTCAAACAAGCCCCGCTAACACTGAGCTCACACGCGTTCTCGGCCGGGAGCTGGCTCTGCTCCTGCCGCAGCCGAGACCTCCACCAGCCGGCCATTTGCTCTGCTCCAGCTGGAGTCGGTTCAAGGAAAACACGACTGGAGAGGTTTGAAAAGCCGAAACTGGCCCCGAAAAAAGGCCAGTGCTGGCTCAGCGGTGGTTATACAAGCGCAGGCGTTTGCTTCTGCGTAGCTGCTCTCCGCAGCCCTGGGCAGGCAGTGCCCTACCAACACCCTGGAGGGACAGAGGCAGGAGCCCGTCGCTCCCTTAAAGGGAAACTTCCTGGCACAACACCCGAGTCCAGACCTGCCTCCCGGGCTAAGACATGTCTGACAGAGGCAAGTCATAGTTCTATTTCTGCTGTAACTTCGTGAAATAGGCTTCAGAAAAACAAAGATGCCTCTATGTAACACATTTTAGGATTTGGTGAAGAAAAACTATTATTTTAAGTTTTAACTGCCGATTTCTCTGCTTAATTTGCATGTCATCTCGTTCTCCACAACATATGCCTTTTGCATCGCATAACCAGCACACCTCCAGAGCAGGAGGAGGAACTCTTGTGAGCTGACCTTCAGAAAAAGCTGCTTTTCATACCCCTGACCCACCCCTTTTGCATGACTGTCACTCTAAGCAAGAAGGTACTTGCTTTAGGTGTTTAGCTTCCTAAACAGGATTTTGTGGATGTATAACTAAGGCCAGACTGTGGAGCCATGATGGTTTTGCCCCTTACACACAGTGTGACATCCCTCAAGTTACTTCGTCTCTCACCTTGTTTCTGCTGGCAGGCTCTCTGGGTTTCAGCAACCTCTAAAACCCAGCAGCTGGCAAGGAGGGGGGGCGAAGAGAAAAAGAGATAAAGGGTGAATGAGCACTGCTGCAACACAGCTCTCACTGGCTTTGCCAGACACTGAAGACCACCTTTGAAAGAACTGGTTTTGACAAAACAGGTGAAGTTCAACCAGTGCTACTCATAGGAGTGCCATAAGAGAGCATCCCAAAAATTTTTGGGGCGAGTACTTCTGAATACCTGCCCCTGAAAAGCATCAGCACAGGTAATAACACACTGCCACCATCAAAAAACCAGACAAGTTTCTCTGCCAGCTGATCCCAAGGGCAGCCAACACAACACGTGATGTAACATGCACTGCTGAACCATTTCTGGTTCTGGAACCTCACACACAAAACACACGTTTCTTATTTACATTCACTTCTCAATTTTTATTCTATTTCTCGCATGGTCTTCAAATACAGTTTTACAGGTCATTTTTTTCTGCTACAGATACTGTTGATCTAAAAACAGATTAATGAAAGTGGCATTCCAACCTTGATGAAAATTCATAACCATGAAAGATATGTCAACATATCACTTTACAATCCTAGAATGATGGTATTGGCCTGACATTCCATAGGCTTATACAATTAACTTCTATAATAATAATAACAGAGTCACTGGGAGAGAAAATGTGGCAACTCCTTAAAAGTCAAGAAATAAGGCCACAAGCATTCTATGCTGTCATGTTATGCATCCAGATAAAATAAGTTGACTCTGATATCCATGAAGAAATAAAACTCTCCCACCTGATAAACCAAGGTATCAGCTACTCAACATGCACTCAAAGCTGTATAAAAACTAGTGGCATTCAGCTCTGACTTACATGAAACCCCATAGCACAACCCCGTACCTCTCTCTAAAAATGAAATGAACTTGTTTCAACTTAAATACTTCGCTACCGCATTAAAAAAAATTGTTCACATTCTGCAAAGGAAAAAAAAAACAAAAACAAAACACAAACATCCTGCACATGACCGCACCAGAAGGCCTAACACAGCATCTCCTTAAAGGCTGCAGACATTACTGCTGTCTTAATGCCATTCATTACAGGTTGCCTAACTTCTATGCAGCTGGAGGCTTGTAAAAGGAACAGAACCTCCTTTGCACACCACTGAAAAAAACCCAGGAAAAGAAAAAAGGAAGGTAAAGACAGTTGATGGCAGCAAGTGAAACAAGCAAGGTATTGCAAGGTGTATACCACTGGCCAATTATGTATCTGGGACACCGGGACTTCTGTGAAATACCAATTTCATAAATGACACAACTACCTCACTACCAGATCCCATAGCACACTGGTTCCATCCCATAGCCAAACATGTCCATCCTGGGTAAAAACATTAAACTCTTTGAACATTTAAAAGTAGGTAATCATTTAAATAATGTGTAAAAATGTGCTTATTGTGGCATTTCATATAGAAAAGTTATTTGATACAAATGTGCAGGACTTGAAGACCCTGATATATTCAAACTAGTAGGAACAGGCTTTGAAACATGGTGACTATTCCAAGGACAAACCCCAGCCGTGGGCCAGCTCTCTCCCTCTCACCATCTCTCATCCACAACCCCCTGTGATTATTACCAAAATTAAGGGGTTCAGCAGACCACCCTGTGAATTGCTGTTTCAGTCCCAGAGAATGATGATAACCTCAAGCAGTGACAAACTGCTGACCAAAGGATCACATGGGACCCGCTCCCCTTACCAGAGATGGTCAGTTTCTAGCCCTGGATACGAGGCACAATAAGAAAGGTCAGTGCTGAGGACAGATTTATTGTGGTTTTAGGTTATTCAAAAGTGCCATCTTGGACCTATACCATTTCACTTTTCAAAAGAAAAAGTTACAAAAACTGGTAAACAAAAAGTTAGTCAGCATACAGCTAAGTTTATATACACTGAAATTTACAAGTTTGTAATTAAGTGACTTCTGCCACAGACCACTGCACATTTGTCCCTAACAAAGCACAAAGCTTGAACCAATGGTCATTAGAAGTGACAACGGGTCATTGCTTTATCAACAAGCATAAAGATAGTCAAAAATAGAACTGTAACTACTTATCTTTAAATTTGCTGATTGACACAAGCAATCCCTCCCATTTCTGCAACTTTCAGTTGCACACCCTGCTCTAGAACAGAGAAAGACCCTGCATCTTGATAGACACTTCTGACAGAGAGCACTTGTCTTGACACATGAATGCAGAGAACGGTTGTTAACCACAGCACCGATTGAGAGGGATTCCTCTGAGAAGCTATAGCCCATGCAAGATTCCTTGGCACTTCACACAGGACCGGGAGAGGACAAGGTTTCTCTTTGTTAAAACAGTGTTTTCAGCAGCATTATCCTCTTCCAACAAATTACAGTCTGAATGTGTGATGGGTGATTTTCGCATAGCCCCTTCTACCAAGCTGGCTTATTGCTGGCTTTGTGCAGCTAGACCATATGAAGATCCCCACCACTACCTGCCCAGCTGTTAAGGGACTACAGTACTGGAACAGTTTGCTGTCAAGCACTTCACAGGCTTCTTCCAAGGATAACAACATCCTTTGGAAATCCTTCCATTTTAGCAATTTCAAAACAACCCAGCTTGCTGTAGAATTCCAAGATTCTTTTATCATCTGGTCTCACTTCACAAAAAGCCCCACGGGAGCCTGAAGAAGAAAGAAACAAAGCATTGTAGGAGGAAGAGTTACTGTAAAATGCATGACATCAAATATTACTAGAGTTCCCATTCCCACCTATTTTAACACTTAAGACCAGTGAAATAGCTGATCCAATTCCATACGGAGCATAGTGCCCCAAAAAAAGACCAAATTTATGGCAACGCAGCTGACCGTCCCCTAAAGGGACTGCACATTGCAGACATCTTGTCGGTCTCAACAAACCCCCTGCACACCTTTTACTTTACATAAAAGCATCCTGAAACACTGATGTTGGCTCAGAAAATAGCGCTAGAAGAGGGCACCAAATTATGCACAGGAAGTGAACCTCAGGTGCACAGTAAGGCAGACAGCCAAGCACTTCCCCATATTGAAGGTTTGGCAATTACCCACCAGTGCACGCTGCCACAGATAAGAAAAAGCATCATTATCAATGCCAGCAGGGGAAATAAACATTTGTGCAACGTTCAAGACGTAAAAATGTGTGCTCTCATTGCCAAACTGCTCCCTCAGTTCTTCGCATTTTCTAATTTGCAGGATAATGGCTAAAGTGAAAAGCTATCTTCTACAGAGGACAGCAGCAGAAGTTAGCTATCTGAAAGCTTTTTTAATTATTTACCTAAATCTGGAGTGTCAGCTATGGCAGTAATTGAGTATCTCAGGCTGACATGCAAATACGGTATGTTAATATAACCATCTCAAACTTGCCTTTCACCCTAGAACTAACATATGATTAGGAAACCATGAGTTTTGAGTGCAAGAAGCTTACCATTAGCCTTTAGAGAAGAAAGCAGGCAGGCCATCATACTTTTGGCCACACTTGGATCTGTCACTTTTTTGTGGATATCAATCTTTATCAATGATGGGAAGTTGGCAAGGAACGATTCTGGCAATACTTCTTGCTCTTCATGGAAGCTTAGCATTATTTTCTGAAAAGAATACGGGAAGCAGATATTTAATCATTATGCAGCTTTTAATTCATGTTTATTAAGGGAGGCTGCTTTGCTCACAGAGTATACACCTCCAAATCAGCATGCTTTTCAACTACACCTTTGATGGCCACTTTGTTCCTCACCTTCTGAATTGCTCTCTGTACTCCAGATAAAAAGCAGGCTAGAGAAGCTTCTCAGACCGCCAAAGAAGGAACGCAAGACTCCTTGCATGGCTTGTCAGTGACCCACACTTCAAGTGGGAACACCCATAAGACAACTCAAAACCAACAGCCTGGGCATGGATACCACATGTTCTGTGGTTCACAACACAGAACTGGAAACATCTCCAATATCCACACAATTATCTTAGACTACTGGCCCCCACAAAGGCAAATTTGTCTCTAGCTTGAAATAAACCTTGTTGATGATTAATGGATTTAGTTGATCACTAAATACTACTGCCATCACCCAGGAAGAGCTTTGGGAATATGACATCAGAAGTTAACTTCATGCAACTCATGGGAATGGAACAATTAAGTGAGGTAACACAGAAGCAGACAAAGCCACATCCGAAATATATTCAAATCATTCACCCTGCTGGTTACCGAACCTTTAGGGAGCACTGGTTCAAGTAAACAAGCCACCTAACTTCATTTCTTGTATAACTGAAAGGCACTGTCACAACCACCCAAACTAGGACTTCATCACAGAAGGAACTGTAACATCAGCAACCCCCATTTTAAATTTTTTCTTTTTTTTCGTGTCAAGTTTAAACACAGTCCCCTAAAACCTCTAAACTTCCATCTCCCAAACTCTTGCACGGAGAGTCTCTGTTCAAAGTTACTGTTTCAAACTTGTTGAGCTACTTCAGGTTCAGAACCATGCATGCTCCTCTGGGCTTTTCATTATCATAGCTGTAAGACACAATCTCACAGAAAGTGTTCAAAGCTAGCCATGCCTCTTTCAGGCACCAAGGCAACAGTGATACCTGTTTCTTCCAACCACAGAAGCACTACAAGAAGTAAAGCACGTTATCAAGAAGTAGGGTACAGGTGGGGCTAAAAAGCAGTTAGAGGCAGGATGCATTCATCTCTTGTGATCAATATTAAGTAATCTCAGGAAAAGCAGATACCAGATGAACATTTCTGACAGGAATCTAGACAAAACTGGAAGACAAGCTCACAAGAAGATGACAATAGTCAGAGGATGGGTTCTTCTTTTGCAAAGCAAAAGGTTTTACTTATCCTATGAAGTTTGTGGCTCAAAGAATTTAAGTAAACTAGAGAATAATACACTATATCAGAAGTCAACAATTTGAATCAAATTATCTCAAAAGTATAGAAAAGCAGCTTTTCAAACCAAAGTGGAAACGGAGATCATCAAGAGGTAAAAAGCCTGTAAAGGAAACCTAATCAATCCTATTCTGAGAAAAAAACACACACTTTTCCCTACCTGATCTTCCATGACAGTGGCTTTTAAGCAGCTATTGAATATTCTCTACATTTCTTTATAATGTCAAAAGGCTAAATGGGTAAACCTCACGGCATCTGTCTCAAAGTACCACAAGCTCTTCTGTACTCCAATGAACATCCCTCAAGCTCATAAGTCTTGAAAAAAAGCCTTTTTCTGAGATATTGTATTAGCAGCAGAAACCCTGGGGTAACGTACCAACAGTAAAAAATGTTCTTAAACATCTCAATGGAAAAGCAAGTTTATCAGCACAAAATACCTTCTGCTTTCTCTCTGAAGTCTGTCTTTTAAACTTCCAGAAATCAAAGTCCCTTCGCCTTTACTGTACCTACTACAGCTTTGCTGTGTTTAGTATCTGGTATCTTCATACATATCAGCTTTGCTTCAAAATCTGAATTTACACACAGTTCAAAGCACAGCACCATAAAAGAATCAATTCATAATACCTACAGACTGCAGAATTAGCTCCACTTCAATAGCAGTCTATTAAGATACCTCCTAGTCACACCTGCCCCAGTACTCTGATGTTTACTGCACAGCTGGTGGGTTTTGTTCTGTTGCCCTGCCCTTACCAGCTGAGGATTCCCTTAGAAGGCTCACCAGTGCAACATCCATTTCTATTCAGACAGCTTGTTGGAGAATACTTTCTGGAAAGTATTCTTTCTCTCTTGAGAGGAAAGGAAAGAGACTACGAAGTGGTACTTCTGGGCCTGGCTCTTACTACAGCTTTGTCCACCCCTCCTTCCACTTGCAGGTGTGGATCAGGACCTCTTAGTATTAAACACACTTCTTTCCTTAACAAGAATTCATCATCTAGAACTTCTCACTATTTCTGACAGTTTGGTGTCATCATTTTTCTAACTTCTTCCAAAAACAATTCAAGATACTGATTTTTAGCACCTGCTAAAGAAAGGTGGGATGTTGTTTTGCACCATTTACAGCTGTCACACTCCACAAATAGCTCAGATTAACATCAAAACCAAGTACTCTTTAATTTGTTTTCCATACTTAAACTGACTACCAGGGGATTAAGCATTACCTGCAGCACCGGGAAACTAATTTGTCTTTTCACAGGAGAACACAGCAGCAGCAATCTTTATTTTCCAAATGTAATTTTCTCTAGATTAAGGTGTCTTAAATTTACTGCGTTGATTACTACTGATGTACACTTCATGGATGTGTTACAACACACAGCTATATCTGACTGGCAGTGAATAATTTTACTGTCACCTTCTAAGATGTCAGATACCGTGTGCATCAAAGAATTC